TAAAAGGAAACTGGGCAAGGAGACTTTTTCAACTGTTATTAAAAGAAACTTGTTGTAAAATATGGGAAAGAGAAATGTAAAATCTGTCTCATGGTTTGTAAGTGGGGGAAAGAAGTTGGCTCTCCATAGAGAGGAGCAAGTCATACAGAGCATGCTGAGGAATGGTGAGACAATGGTCTTACAATGAGACAATGGTAAGGTAGAGGAATGCACATTGGGGCTTGTATTCCACCTAGAGCTTTTTGTCTCTTTGTTACCCAGAGAACAGCTTATTTTTAAAAAAACCCACAAGTCTTCACAACAGAAAGCCTATGTGCCTGTTCACATGACTGCCGGTGTCCTGGCAGGGGAAACTGGCCAGACCAGTGCCTACTGGTAGGATCCTAAAGCAGCATTTCTGGTCACACCACAGGTAGGGGGCAAGGGAACTCAGCATCTCTTCTCACCTCTGTCTAGCAGAAGACACCATTGCAGACTCTGCCAGCAGTCTCCTGCACCACAGCCTGCAATCTCACATCTCCTATGTCAGAGCTTCTGCGGGGAACAGAACATTTGACTCCCCATGTTACCCCAAGAGATTAATCAGCAACAAGTTGTCAAGCTTTTCTTTTTAACTAAAATCAACAAGAAATCACATGCAACTTGCCTCACCTTGCATCAAAATTTCTCTCTTTACTCACCTTATCCTCTCTTTTGCGTTAAACCTCACTTAGTCATGCCTAGAATTACACTTTTGTAGCCATGATGTAATATGGCCACATGTTAGAGTACTAGAAAAATAATAGCAATAATTAAGTTTCCCTCCATTCTCTTTTTCTCCCCTCTCTAATCACTAGAAAATGCTCCTTCCACACTTGGTAAAAAATTGACAGTCTTTACAGCTCCATGGGCTGGAAGAAGTAACCCCACAAGACATTGTACCAGAAGTTTAGAAAGCTCAAGGCTGGCTTCAGGTAAATGAATAAGCAAAATAAAAAAAGACAAAAAAAATCCAACTTCCAAAAAAACAACCAAAGCAACAACGAAACTTGTCAGATCAAATAGAAGGTTTGTCTCTAAACTCACAGGATTTGGGTGGCTTCAGACATATCAATTTTTCCATTCTTACTCATGATCTCTCTTCTTCCTGGGATGGCTACGGAAACAGTCACATATAACACATCTCAACAGTGACAGTTCCAGCTAACTACAACAACTAAGCTGTGAGGTTTCTGAGCCAAGATGTGTATCTGAGCAAGCCTGCCGAGAGCTGGTCTATGCTGTGCCTCCATTTCTTGCCTCTGACACTCTGATGCCTCAGCACGTGCTGGGGATCAGCTGGAGATCAGCAACTGGTCCTTCTGCTTTTGCATTACTGGTACCCTTCAGGCTTTTGTTGTGCACCAGTCACCTTCCTCCCTGTCACAAGTGATCACAGACTGTTAAAGAGTCAGGACACATGGACACAGTATGCAGTAGAGGGAAGCTAGCCAAAGCTATCCAGGGGATATTCCTCCCTCTCTGACCAGGGTCTCTCTGCAGGGCTGTTTGTCCACCACACCACTGCCCATCTCAACTGATCTGTGAGAAACAGCACCCACTGTGCAGCAGTACCCATCACACACCAGCCCTCCTCATTGCTTATCCTGCCTCACACTCTGCTTATACTCTCTCTCATAGCTCACTGGGCATCCCTTGGTTTCCACTGTGCTTTTGCTGTGGAAGCAGCAATGACCCTATCCATATAATCCTTTCTATAATACAGTCCTTTCTGCCACCTTGGTCACTGTACATATGGGGCCTACCCAAGGTTTTTAAGACACTAGCATGCTCCCCCCGCTTTCCTCCACCAGGGCAGGTAAATAGGATGCAGCATCTGATACACATCAACCACAGAAAGGGCCATATCTCTATCAAGCAGCTCGCTGTGCTTAGCCACATAGCAACACAAATGTTTCTATGTCATTTGGCTGATTTGGCCAGCTGCACACACAGACATTTCCTGGAAAGGGTTCAGCTGACCCCAGGAGCTGTCTGCATGCCTGCAACGTGCCTCTTGGCTCAGCGCTGGCCAGGTGCCTCAGGCTGCATCATGTAGGAAAGCACACCGGTGCCTAGAAAGAAAGGATGTGAATGCCAGGATGCTCCCAGGCACTGGGAGCAGATCAGAGACCTCTTGTCAGGGGGTTATCTGGGCTTGTCACTTCTTGTCAGCCATTTTCTCTGCAGAGGAAAGTCTCTCTGGAGCCCTGTTAAATGGTGTCCAAACCCTGTGGTACCTCCACACATGGCCCAGACTGCTCCATCAGGAGAGGTCAGCTCAGACCACTGCAGTCCAGAAAGATGACCTGCAGGGAAGAGTTATTTTATTCAAGACAGAAAAAACCCAAACATCACAATGGCCATCACTGCTAAAGGACCTGGGATATCCTCTCTCATACAGACACCCTTCCCTTGCTGAGGAGGAAACAAAATATTTAATAATTTCAAAATAAATTTCAATAATTTGAATATTTTTATTAAGCAATTTTAAATATAGTGCAAGAGCTATTAATGTCAGCATTAAATATTCATGAAGTATTTAATGATAACAATAAGCAAGTATTTCACTAAAGGAACAGCTCATTAGCTAAACAGATGACTTTATTAAGGCCACTGTGGCACAAGCAGTTTATTAATTAACTCTATGTGGTTTGCAAACGTATAAGCCTGTCATGACCTTACTTTGAATCTTTAGTCAGAGCCCACAAGCTAAGTAGCGGATTTGCTCTAGGCAGTTTAGAGCAATATTTGAGGAAGGGATCACAATGCAGAAACACGTGTTTTACTGGCAGCCATGCCACTGACTCAACACAATCACAGCCACTCTGACTCAGGAGCAACCCTAGCAGCACCTAGCTTTATTCTGCACAGATAAGCCAACTCTATCCACCTCTGGAGAACTTAGTATTATTTATAACATGATTGTCCACTCCACTGTGCCACTGTCTCCAAAACATGCAGGTTTGTATTGCCTTTAGCACTTCAGATAAGATAACTACCAGATCCTTGCCCCCTCCTGATGTGCAGCAATAGCAACTGCTGCACCCTCCCCCAGAGCTGACTACATTCACATTCTAGATGAGAATCTAGAACTGTGTGCTGAGTTATTGAAACCTTTGGGAGCTTTCCAGACCTTCACCAATACAATAGTAGCAGAGAGTGTAATCTCAGCACAAGTTTCCTCCGGGCACTGAATGCCCTGTCTCTCTCCAAGCTGCTCACCACTAAAGAAAGGAAATATGCAATGTGCTCAGCTAGTTTTGCTACAGAAATAGCTGCGAGCTTGCAGGCATGTGTACACACAGATGCACGATCTCCACTTGGATGTTTGGTCACTAGAAAAGCAACACAGCACAAACAACAATCAAAAGAGGACAGTAACTTCCAGCCTTTCCCAGCAGGGTCTGGATCACTCACCACCATCTCTGCACAATGTGGTTTGCCCATCTGGTACTAGAAAGGGGTGAGGACAGCGAGAGAAAGCATCAAGCAAGCAGAAAGGTCCCTAAACTTTGACTTTTCAAGGCATTTTCCATCCTGAGAAATGCAGTGGAAATATCTGAGTGCAGCAACAGCTGTATGACCAGAAAGATGAAGTGTTCACTTCATACTGGCCACACCAGTAACCAGTCTACTTCTAAGTTTTAAAGAAATAGATTTCCCTGGATCAAGCCACAGCACCACCACCAAACCGAGAGCAGCACTGTGGAAAAGGAAATAAACGCTGCAGGCCGAAGAGCCACTGTTCACTGTGACCAGCATCAGAGCTGTAAGAAGATGGGACCACATACAAAGATGGTGAACTACAGCTTTCATGTACTGCGGGGTGACAACGTGGCAGACAGCCCCAGGATTAACCCATGGAAGGGAAGAGCTCCATGGACCAGGACACCAGAGTGAGCAAATAGAGACTTTTTTAACAAAGCACCACTTCCTTTCCTTGCCCTTCAGACTGTCACAGGGGAAGTGCTGCTGGAGACAGAGAGCACATAGAGGAACATGGTGCCTTTGGGGATGGCAGCACTTCTGCTCAGCAACAAGCATCTGGCTCTACTAGAGCTCAAGTCTGTGTTTTAAGATAACTCCCCTTCTGATGGCCAAACTGGGCTTGGGCTGCCTGCTCTGTGCTGCCCACTCCCTGGTCCCCAGATCCTGATGTTTTGATGCTGGAGACCCAAAGCTCCATGGCAGGGAAGTGAAGTCAGGCTCCCGGTTTTCTGCCATGCTGCTGGAGAAGGAGCAGGGTGCTGGCCCCTGATCACGCAGGCCTTCAGGACTTTGGCCATTGCAGAAGCCTGCTGTCCCAAATGAAGAGAGGACAGTGCCACTTACTAGAAAAATATACCTTTATTTACCATCTGTGTTTTGCTCGGGAGAAAACAACCTGTGACAAGGGGGCCAGCCAAAGCCATGCCACTGATGGTGGCCAGCACTGTGCAGGGGGTTGCAGAATCAGGTCTCCATAGGGGACCCTAATGTGTCAAAAGGGCAGGAAGGAGGTTGGAGATGCTGCTTTCATCTCAGGCACTGCTGTGTTGTTTAGGTCCTGTCAGCAGAGCATATGGCCTTCCCCACCAGCCCCACCACCACAGTGCAGTCATGGTTTATCTCCAGGGTTGGGACCCTCCTCATGGCAGGGCTGCTTCTGGCACATTCCTTGCAGGGCAGAGTGAGTTAAATAAAATGGGTTGGGGGACATTTTCTGGGATAGGAACAGTTGATAACTTAACATAAAATGAACATATCACATATAATGAGCCAGCTAACAGGCAGGTGCCTGTTGTACAACAGTCAGTGCCAAATGCCTGGGCAGGGTGGCCAGCCATGGCTCGGGGGAGGCAGCTGAGGCCTCCATACTACTCATTCCCACACCACTGCCTGCAGTGTGGCACGGCACAGGCACCCACAGCCCTGGCTTCAGTGGCCTACTTGACACTCGCCAGCTATCCCCACATGCCCGCTGGCCAGAGCTCACTAGGGCCATGACACCATGCAGGGCTCCTGGCACCAGCATCTTCTCAGGTAGCAAGTAGTGAGTTTCAGCAAGGTCTTCAGCACATTTTGAGTTTGTTGGTTTCTTTTCAGAGGGGAAAAATGTAAAATTCTCTTCAGGCTGATGCCATAGAGCCCTGGTGTTTCCCAGAGGTCCACTTTCAAGCCTTTACCAGTTTCTTGAGCAAAAAGATGCTGAAGGCATCATGCAGAAGACCAAAATATAGTTTCCTGGTGAGCTTAGATGTGTGAGACCCTGGCTTGGCCACTACCACTCAGGCAGCACTCACCCCTCACGTGTCCTAGTGTGGCGGTGGGGGCTATCAGCCATGCTCCAACAGCCCCATTCAAAGCTTAAATAAGCCAAAGAATGTCTTGGATTCCTCAAAATTAACCAGAGCAATTTTGGAGACGTTAACATGCAAACTGTCCATCTCCCTGAGCTTGAATAAAGCGCCTAGGTAGCTTTTCCGGGCCCATGTTTTCTGACTTGTACAGTAGTTGATGCCTTTATCCTCCATCAGGATGTGGCTGCCTGGTGAAGCTGGGTTTTTCTTGTAGACAACATGAGTCAATACCTGGCTGCTGCAGATGCTGCCCCGAAAGAGCACGTTGGAGTACACAAAGTACAGGCCAGTTTCATTGATGATGAGGCCCTGATCACGGTACTGAATGCCATCAGTGAAGGCGTGACCAGAGATGGGTTCCCAATCCAGAGGGAGGTCCCGCTGGGCTGGGTTCCCTGGAGTCCAAAGCAAGAGAAAATTTTGGTAAGTACAAGCAGTTGTGTGTTTTTTTCCTTAAGTCATACCCCATGTCACAACAAGTCAAATGTTCTCCAAGCCCTTGTCTGCAGCATGGAAAGTCTGCCCCCACCTCGTGCTGGTGGGAGCTCTCACCTTCACCTCAATCAATGCCAGTCACTTGTGACAGACTTCTCTCTGCACACCCCAGATGAAAACCAAAAACCAAGCCAAAAAAGAGCCCTCACTTTAAAGCCTAAATGAGGGAAAGAGACTTTAGGTGTGGAGTAACTTTCCACTGTCAGAGCACATGTATTACCAAGGGAAAAATAGGAAAGCCTGTGTGAGGTGGGGTCCTCACAACTACAGCCATGCCACCCACCCTCACCCTAGCCCCCTGCTCCCACATCTTGCTCTTGCTGACCCCTCAGCACATACCTGTTAAGTGTGCTGCCTTTGTCACTTCCTTTTTCACTGACTGCTCCTTCTGCCCTGCACAAAAATAGGGAAGACATTAGCCACATGCTCCACGAAGAAGCCAACCCAGAGAGCAGAAGGGAGCCAACCACAAAGCTGAAACAGGGCAGAATTAAAGCAGCAGAGGGCATATAAGCACCACAGCTTGTCGCAGCAAGGCAGAGCAGTGCTGGGCAAACACTGCAGAGCAAGAGAAGGAGTTAAAAAGGATGAGTCACAGCAAAGGATCTAGATGTGATCAAAAGCAGGGGGAAAGAGCAAGGAGAGCCTTCATCTTAAAATGGCTCAGCTGGTGAGGAGAGGGACAATACTGCCCCTTTGCACAGCATCTCTGGCGGATGCCAAGCTGACTGCTCATGTCCTGTCATACATAAGCCTGCTCTATTGCCACCCTTCAGCACAGCACTGCCAAGGACAGATGCACCCATGGCACTGCATTTCTGTGTGTTGCATACCCACCCTCCTCACAACTAGATCAGAGAAGACACTTGAGACATCCTGCAAACCATCAGACAGACCTTGTCCTCAGAGAAGCAGAGACAGCTAGGAAATTCTGCCTTCCCCGGAGGGCTCGATTCCCCTTGGAGAGATGGGCCAGTTTCAGTGACTCAGTATTTGGAACCCATCCCACTCCATCCTTCCCTTATCAGGATCTACTTTCAAGTATCATGTTCTCATATTTTAGAAGTAGCATTTTGTTAAGCCAGTTAAATTTTCCTCTCCTCTCCCCCTTCTCCTTTACATTATTTTCCCTGGCTTTATTTATTTATCCATGCCCCTCAAGAAATTCAGGGTTACTATTTATGACTTATGTTCAGCTATCACTAAAATAGCCTATGATCAGAGCACTGAGCATCCAGTTAAAATGAGAGCCCCTCCTTCCCCTAAGCTATAGAATTTATTGATATGGGACTTGATGGAAACCAGGACTGCCCTTTCTAGAGAGTTTTGTTATTTTCAAGTTTGCTTTCATTTAGGATCAGAACAAACTTGAAAACACATTAGCTTTCCTACTAACCAAAATCCTCAGGGCAAAACAATCTTTTCAGATACAGCAAGAATTGTCAAGAGAGCTGAAAATTTCTTTCCGACTTGGCCATCTTTATAAGGTATATCCTCACTGATAATATGAATATGGAATGTAAAAGTAAAATAATAGTTTGGAAGTTCAAAACATGATTTTTAATTTGTTCCATTCAGATTTAAATTCTTTGGTACTTTCCTAATGAAATTTAGGAAAATTGGTAGATCCTTGTTGAAAGTTTTAGTTCCATTGAAATGACATTTCTAAAAGAAAAAAAAACCAATGACACATAATCAGGGTCTTCTCAACTATCTTCGGCTGCAGTGAGACTTTGTACCAAAAAAATTTAGGAAAAAAAATAAGTCGCACTCTCAAGGGTAGGTGTGAATCCCCCACCCCCAAAGAAAGCAGTTCTCTTCTCCATTCTGCCCCTTCCGTTTGTGCTGTTGTTACATGTTAGGACAGCCAGAAACTCACTTTTACGGCAGAGTACCCCTGATACTGTTGCCCCAGAAGGCCTAGGAAGCCCTAAGGTAGAGACACACTGCCCCAGGAACCTGTGGCTGACACCTCTAAGCACTCCAGCAGGCAGGGTGCAGGACTCTATCCTAGAGATAAAGTTCTTTTTCCAACCAAGCAAATGAAGTCAGCCCTTTCAGAGATCGAGCTGTGACCCTGCCTTTGCCCCCAGTGAGAAGAGGGAAGAGTTCAACAGGAGCATTCACACATGCTAACACAGAGGGGTTTCTCCTCTGTGTACATCAACTCACCTATGAGTTTCTCCAAAGCTGGAGGGATGTGTTCAGTGCTGGCAGACTGTCAAAAGAGAAGAGTGACAAGCTGTCTTAGTAGAGTGAGAGCATAAGAGCATCATCTAAAGCAGTCAAAGACTGTCTTTGACAGTGGCTAATTCCAGGTGCTCATGGGGAGCTGCAAAGTGGTAAGAAATATACAGGGGGAGAGACCATGCAGCACCCAAACACAAAGACATCAAGGTATATCAGTCATCAATTAGGAGCAATCCCCCACAGTAATAAGGAACTCTACTTACACTGACATGGCAGACTTAAATTCCACCAGCCTGCCCCTTGGGAGTTTTGCACCACCTGAGCATCTCAAACCCAAAATTAAGTTTTTCTCTTTTCATGTTTCCCCAGAGCCTCTGTGACCAGCCAGCCAGACCTCACCTCTCTGAGTTCAGCCAGTTCTTTCTCCAGGTGGAAAATCTGAAACATGCTCAGCCCCACTCCAGTGAGGGCCAGCAGGATCAGCAAGGAGATCACCAGGAAGCCGACGCTCCTCCTTTCCCTCTTGTCCCTTGGCTTTCTCCTCCGGTCAGGTACTGGTGGTGGGAAAGGAGCAACGGGGGATGCCGGGGGGCAGGAAGTACTTGCATTGGCACAGCCATCCACCCAGAAGATCTGGGGGTACACATAGTTTAAGTTCTGCTGCATGGCTGGGAGTGGGATGGGCTGGACATGCTTGGCGTGATCTTCCATATGGCAGCCAAAAACTGCTGGGGCTGTCCCAGACTGAGCCCTGGGGGAAGACCCAGCTCTGCCTTTATACGCCTGCATAACTCCAGCAGCGAACACCCAGCTCAGATGCTGCAACTCTCTGAAAGCCTCAAGCATCAACAGCAAACCCCAAAGAGTTTCCGCCCTCGCCCTCCGCTGCAAGTTCAGGGCAGTCTCCTGCTCCTCCCACACCGAGGCTGCAGGACCAGCCCAGAATCACACTCTGCTCACACAAAACCACATTATGCAGCCAGAGTCGGGAAGCAGGTGCCCTCAGCAGCAAAGTGCTTGTGGGGTGCACACAAGGGCTGCACTGCCAGGTGGGGGCTGAGTAATCAGCCCAGTGCGCACCCACTAGCCAACCACCCCTTCCAGCAGCCCGCTCTGGCAGAGGCAGCTGCTTTTCCACTGTGGTGTCCTTGACCACAAGCAGAGCAAAAGGAATGACACAACATCAGGCATCCTGCAGAAGAGGAGAGAGGCAGAGCTGAGGATGACTCCTCTCAGCAGAAGGATGAAGATTTGATCCCAAGTGCAGCTGTAGGTGCTGGGGAGTTGATTCATTTCACACAGGACAAATCACTTACCACTGTCTGTGGCGCATCCCACCTTTTCTTTGGCTGCTTTACAGGGCACAACGTAACAGAACACTGGTCACAGACACCATCCCACTGTGCTAAAAACCAACTTAACTGAGAGGATTGCCAGTGCCGCATCCTCAGCGGAGCTACCCCCACATTAACAGTCCAGTTAGAGGCAGCTCAGTGGGCTGCCTTCACCCACACCACCAAACCACTGCGGGGCGCTGGCCAGGCTGAAGCAACCACATGCTCTAATGTGGGAAACGAGTGCCTTGGGGCACAAGCAAGGCTCTTCTGGCAGCTTCTGCTGCTCATCTTACCCTTGCAAATACTATCTGCAATCCCACAGTCCTTTTCTAACCTGAAGCCACCTTCGACAGGGAAGGGTTTACTGTATTATCTCTTCAGGTCAATGCTAAGCACTGCAGCAGGACCTAACGTGGCTGAGTAACTTGCAATTAAAGCCTGGGGTAGACACTGTGCTACTCATCTTGGGAGAATTTCTCTTGCCTTCCAAGAAAGGATCCAGAACTCAAGCCATGCTGCAAAGACCAGCACTTATAAGAGCTCATTACAAAATCCTAATGAGGAGAGACAGGGACATTTTCATTCCTCTATTTCCAATTTCTCAATTTCCATTCCTCATTGACCACAGATTTGTAAGTGGTGGCAATGATATTTTCCCCACAGATTTACAGGTGCACACAAGTGGTTATAAACAGTAGTTTACTCTTTCATTTTACAGACCTACATTGAAGCGTATATTTGTATGGGATAGTATTTAAAGGAGGACATGTTTAATACAAGAACTGGAGACTTGTCTCCTCTGTGGCTGAAGGAAGCAATCCCAACATGCAGGCTTTGATCTCAAACATCAAAACTAGGGTCTGAGAACAGAGCAAGGGCTCAGCTTTGCCTCCAACCACACCAGTAAGTCAGACATGTCCTCAAAGCCTTGCCTGCACCACTAGACACCCCACTGCTTTTTGAAGATGTTCACCACAGCTGTTTGCTGCAGCAGTGATCTGCAACATGAGAGGTTTCAGCAACCCATCTGGCTCTTCCTTGTACTTCTAGGTTTCTGATATACAAAATGCAAAAGCAACATCCAGCTCCAGCAGTTCAAAGCCTGGTCACGCCTACCCTCACTCAGTCCTCCTCTCTGCGTCCCAGAACAACACTCCCCGGCCAGCCCAATGACAGGTCCTCATCCACTCCTACAAACACTAGAAGAGGGTCACACAACAGGCTGGGCTCAGCTCCGCACCTCCTGTGCCACGTGCTGAACTCCAGCCTGCTAACCAGCGCTGGGCATGGAGAGAGAGATGCCTCCAAGGCACAGGGAACAAAGAGAGGCAGCAGGACATCTGCCAGCACACTCCCCACCATCCCACCCGTGCAGCACCCCAGCCCTGCTGCTGCTGCCACCACGGGCACCTGAGCCGTGTCTGGGGGACTTGCCACCACCCAGGCCCCTTGCTCAGCAGTCAGTGCCTGTGCTCCCTTGCTCTGAGCCATAAGCACAGCACACCAGTGGCTGTTTGCAACCCAGGTATGAGTGACAGGGAGCACCCATCTCTTGGAGCAATTGAATGGGCATTAATCACAGAATCACAAAAATCACAGAATCATCTAGGTTGGAAAGGACCTTGAAGATTATCTAGTCCAACCGTCAACCTAGCACTGACAGTTCCAGTGACAGCTCAGGGAACAGGGACTGAAGCAAGCTCAGGACTTCCTCAAAGTTGAAGGCATTGCTGACAAGCGTGTCAAAAGTCATCGCATACATAGCTTTGCCTCGAGAAGATCCACTCTCAAGTTTTTTCTGACACTGTTTAATGCAGCCAGCTTATCTTGGTGGGATTGCAGGCACTGTAACAGTCTCCCTTAAATGTCAGAAGCGTACTTATTTCTCACCCACTGCTTCCTATTTTCACAAAGATGTGTTTTTTTATGGGTGGGTGAGAACAGAGACGATGAAACCAATGAAAGCCATTTCAGCCACATCTGCTGCATCTTCTCTTCTGGATGCTCAGATCAAGAGCCTGTTAATATCACATGTTGTAGCAAGCCAAAGATGGGGCTATTTTACCATCAAAGGATCATCTTTGGTGCACAGCATGCTCTGAGATCTCTCCCTTCCTAGCATACTTTACTGTGCTGGTCCTGCTGTCATGCTGTTTCCCCTGTCACCACCTTCAGAGATACATTCTGGAAGACCGTGGCAAGCATCTGCATCTGTAGCACATCATGATGCCTGCAGGCTCTGTGTTCTGGTGGCTTCCTATTGCTCAAGCAACACCCAATATTAACAGGGCTTAAAGTAATAGTAGGACTATTAGCTGTAGGTAGACACTCAAGTCACATGAATCTATTTTGCTATAAGGCCTAAAGCTAGAAATCAGACAAGGCTAAGCTCTCCTAAAATACAGGGCAAGGACAGCTGGGCAGGAAAGGTGGACATAAGGGCAAAAGGGATGCTACCTGTGTCTATCTGCCTTCCTACCCCCCTCTTCACCCAGTCTGCAAGATGCACACTCTGTTTTCACCAGCCTTATTGGGTCATTTGAACAGGAGGGAGTATTTTCAAATGAAAACACCTTCCATGCCCTTTAGCAGAGAATCCAGCCCCTTTGCCAAAACTGACAAAAGACAAGACAGTTAGAAAAAGAGGATTTGCTCAGAATGCTACTTCACCTCAAAAGAGTGTACTGTATTACCTGTACATACTAGTATGCTAAAGTTTATGTTGACAGCAAAGAGAATCAGCCAGTAGCTAAAAGTATGTATTAACAGATTTAAGGACAAAAGGATGACCTGCTTAAAATACACCAAAGGAAGCAGAATTTGAACAATGATCCATATGTAATACTTGATAGAAAATAAAGTCTAAAAAAAACCCCACAAGTGTGAACCACTGCGTTGGAGAGGCTCACATCAGACTCTGGACAGAGTCAGATACATGTCTGTCTGAAAGTGATTAACAAATATTTCCTATTACATTAATGACCAGTGGAAATGCTAAAAGGCAACTATTGAAAGCCCACAGGGCTGCATAAATTACACCCAAGAACAAATGAAGAAGTTGAGAATCATTCGCATTAAAAAACAGGATTCAAAATATTAATCCGAGATATTAACATCCTTGGCAACCTTTTGTGGTCCCAGGCTTAACCATGACATCAGAGCCAGGAGAGGCAACTACTGCAAACCCAGTAAGGATCAGCCACAGCTGGCAGAAGAGATGGTACCCGTTAACACTCACTGATGGGTACAGTGGAAAGAGTAACTGAGAGCACCATCCAGGACAAGGCTTCTGATTTTCCAACAGGATTGTCCTCAACACAGCGGTATTTCAACACCTTTACCACAGATCTGGAGAAAACTAACCAAAACGTTACACCAGTAATATGTGAAAACTAAAATAACTGGTTAAGAGATCCTAAGTAACCATAAGGACAGAATTTAATCAGAAGAAAACAAGTCTAGAAACAAAGACTGCAGATCAAACTCTTTAGATAGAAAATAACATCTTAGAAAGAAAACAGTCTCAAACAGGGAGAAGCTACCCAGCTGGACACGAGCTTCCAGCAGGGAAAGCCCACAGGCTCCCATAGGTATGAGTTCACATATAGCACCAGGCAGCTACAGACAGTACCAGAACCCTCATTGCAAGTTTACGTTCAACTTCAGAGGGGCTCAGGAAGAAGCTGCAGTAACTGCTAAAGCCATTCAACTTGGTCCATTTAAGAGCAAATTGGCAGGGAGGGACAGAGCATGTAAAAACCTTGTATGAAGGACAATTTATTTACAGCAGCAGAGAGCTCTTGAATCTCACAGACAAAAACCTTCCCAGGAAGGCACTAACCTGGAGCCCAAACTGAAAGAGTTTGTGCAAAAAAAGAGACATGAATTTTTGACTGAACATTGGAATGGAACTGCCTCCAAAGACAACAGGATCTCCATCCTCTGAAGCCTTTGAGGGGCATGGAAGATACCAGAACTCAGTCAGCCTTTGCAGTTAGCACTGACATCTTAGTATCATTTCTCTACTACATCTTTTTTAACAGTTTGGTTTCCCAGACAGGGGTGATGCTTTCCATTTCCTCAACAACTGCTCTCTGTGCTAGAGGCATTTGTGGCACATGCAAAGCCATGCCTTGGTGCCAACAGCTCACAAGGGAGACATTCACATATTCACATTCAAAGAGCAGGTTTCAAAATCTATTTCTAACAGCTCAGGCCTGGTATTGCAGTGCTTAATATGGTCCTCTTCCAGTGAGCATGGTGCTGTTCTCTCCTTCACCATGATCCCAACAAGCAGGCAGCAGCCCTGTGTTCAGCAGAATTGGTGCAGGGCTCTGACCCGAG